AATATCTAATAATTTTCATATTATGTAGAATTGACTATCCATGATATAATATAAATAAAATGTTCTTAAGTAATCTATTATTTTTAACTTTATTTATAAGACTAGATTCTTCTCTTTTATTTTTATTATTGTTGTCACCTATCACAAATGAAAATAAATTATTATGTAGATTTTTCTATTGTTTTAATAAATTATTTGTGAAATAGCTTTTTCATATGATGTCGACCCCTAAATTATGTGTGAACACTACATCCGTGTCGGAGTTTTGGATGCTTATCATATGGTGTCGACAGCAAAATTATGTGTCGACACCATGCCCGTGTCGAATTTTTGTCCTCTTTTGCTGTCACCTTGATCACGTTTTGCATCTATGCATCTATTTGGGTTGAAAGGGGAAGTAAACAAGAGGTGCATCCAGAGGTGAAAGATGTGTATCCTTGGAAACGCATAAAAAAATATTGTAATGCATAATAATAGAAATCACGGGACTAAATTATAAATCCTTACAGAGTTTGAGGACTATATTGTGAAACAAAAGTTCCAATTAGGGACCTAAATCAATAAATTCGAAGATATAGGATTTGATGTTCACCATGTAGAAGTCCTAGGACCAGCCTTGCAATTTTATCTTTGAAGAAATAGCAAAAAGGCCCAAAAACCCGACACGGGATGTGTGTTGACACCCTTGCTTAGTGTCGATATAATTATTATAGATAACGGAAAACTCTAAGCACAGAATTATTAAAAATTAAACTCACCCTGATATATACATAACAGAAAAATAATGAAAAGAATTAAAACAAGAGAAAAGTTATGTCATTTACATGTACATTAAAACCTCTATTAATTAATAAAAAATCATAAAAAAGTAAAGAATAAATAACAACATAAAATATATAAATTTCATTCAAAATTATCATATTAACAGTTACAAATCATTGTATTAAAAATGATAATATTATTACACTTTTAATTATAATATAAAAAATTCATTATTAATAACACAACTAATTTATGCTTTTATCATAACTTTTTCATTATTATAAATCATTTATGAATAGACAATTAAAATTCTCCCGAGCAACTACTTTAATTGTTTTAATAACACAACGTAAAGAAAGCCAAAATTTCAAGATGTGAATATGAAAGGGCAACATAACAAAAAACTTAACATAATAAATAATTAAAAATAAATAATAACTAATAAATATTGATTTTTATTAAACTCTTAATGGTCACATGCAGTGCCAGAGCTCCGTAGAAAGGGCTACTGCAGTGGGTGAATCAGAGCTCACAAGTCTCCCTATTTCTA